TGCGGTTCCGCTGTGGGAAAAGCAATCTTTACCTGCCAGCTCCCTGCACTTGGGGGTTTGAAGGGGCATTTTTTCCAATGCATACCCTGAGCTGGGAGATGCCCCTTTGCCAGCCCTGCAGACGGTCTCAGACCTGCTCCCTGCCTGCACATCACAACCTGCAGCACCGTTTGCTGTTCCATGAGTAACAGGAGCCCGACGAGTCTGAATTGGTGGTCCTGAGAGGTGCCGAGAGGGGTGCTGGCTGCTTGGCAGGGGCTGTGAACAGAGGCTTGCCAGCTCGCGGTGCCCGGCGCAACAGGAGGGTGCAGAGCATCCCTTTGCCCTAATGCTAGAAATCCTGTGGCCCCGAGCAAAGGAGAAAACATAGGAGAGCACTGCAAGCCCTGGGTCTGGGTGTGCCAGAGCACACCTAGGCTCTCGTGAGCACACCAGCTCTCCTCACTCTGCTTTCACACCCTCCCCCTCCCCTTCAGCTAGGTCACTTCCCACACCCTCCTTGCTCAGAGAGTCTGGCCACTCTCATTACCTGTAATTTTCTGCCTTTCAGACTAAACGTGATGTGTGATAGCTGCTGCCTCAGAACAAAGCCTTGTTCACCTTCTGGGCAGAAACCGTGGCTGGGGCAGAAGCAGCAAGTGGGTTTGTGTCCCAGCCCACCAGGGATGCTCTTGGCTGGAGGGCTCCTTCGTGCCAGCCTCCTTTCCCCAGCCTTCAGCTCCTTTTGTTGTAAAGGGGGTTTGCAGAGAACAATGGAAAAAAAGTCATGTTTTGGTACACTCTGTAAGCCTGTAGCTCTGGTCTGACCAGTACGTTATGCTAGCCCCAGGACACGTTGTACGTGACACCGTTGCACCAAGTGACTCCTGCTCATGGGGGGAAATCACGTCACCCACTGTAAACCGGCGGCTGTACCGTGACCCTGGGCTGAACGTGTGTGTCTCCTGTGACATGCACGCTGGGCTCGGGGCATCGGTGGCCTGTGGGGCTGGATTAAAGGCTCTTCAACTCACCAGCAGTCCTAGTTTTTAGATGAGTGTACGTACCGTATCCGAGGAGACGGGATTGCCCATTGATCTAGAGCCTCGGGCGCCTTTCTGCTGTCAGCTACTGAAGCTGAACGGCTCTGGGAGCATCTCCCGAAAAGCCCACGCTCTCGTGGCAATCTCCTCTGCTGCTTCAGAGGCTGAGCCCAACCCAAGGTGCTTTCCCCTGGGATGGAGGGAGCTGCGGTAGGGCTGGCTCTGCTCAGACCGAGCAGACGCGGTTACATGAGGCTTGGAAATCATCTTTTTGTGCCCCAACCCTCCTCTGCTGAGTGCTGTTGACCGTGTTTTGGGTGTCTGCTCTCTGACTGAGACTGCTTGGGCAGGAGGGCCCCGGCTTCTCTAATCTGCTGTCCCCCTCCCCTGCCTCCCCAGGTACGAAAGGCTTGGAGTGCTCACCCTCCACCCCCACCATGAACTCCTACTTCTACAAGTTCATGATCAACCTGCTCAAGCGCTTCAGCAGCGAACGGAAACTCCTGGAGACCAGAGGAGCCTTCATCATCAGGTACGAGCACACCACCAGCCTCACGGAAACCCCTGAGCACCCCCAGGCAGGTTGGGATGGGGATGATAGGGTCAAGGAGCCCAAACACTGAGCTTTCTTGGAGCCAAAACCATTCCTACAAGCCTCTCTCGCTCCCCAGCAGATGGTTTCGGAGCAAATAGGACTTGCCTTTCACATGTTGAGGCACCATATTTCTCGCTCCCATCCCCGGAGGCAAAGTAGCTCCTTATTAAATAGCGTTGTCAGAGCCCGTTGCATTAAGAAACAACTAGACCAGCCAGAGCATGAAGACAGGCTTGGGCTCGGGCTGCCAAGTGGAGTGAATCCCTCCGCCTGGCTCCATGAAATGCTCACCCAGTGAAAGCCTCGTCTCCCAAAGCCACGCGTTTTGATGATCAGTGTTTGGTAGGTTTTGCTTTGGCTTTCTAAGAAGCAAAGACGGAGGCTGGAAAGCCAAGTGTCGTGGCAGCTGGCAGGGCATCGTCCTTAATGCAGTGAAATCTGGGACAAGGGACACAGGTTCCTCGGCTCGCTGGGAAATAATGGGCTTAACGCTGGAGGCCAGGGGAGAAGTCAGTGAGGAGGTTGGTGGGAGGAGGGGGGAGGATTTTTCTCCCTCGCTTTCAAGGACATGGCATCCGAATGAACACAAGGAGAGCGAGAAACCCAAACCACGCTCCCGTGGGAGAAGAGAGCTGCCTCTCTGAAAGCAGAGGGGTGCACAAAGTACTGACAGGGAGGGGGGGGTGTCCCATCACTGCGATCGGAAAATAAAGTGTGCCGAGCTCTCCAAACCTGCTCAGCCAGGCTGGATGTTCAGTTGTACCTGCTAGGGCAGCAGTTTGTGCCTGAGTCTTTGGGTGGCCTGAGAGCCCGACAAAAAGTTGTTGCCGGATTCATCCTGTGAGCGTTTTAACATCGAGGTGGAGTTTGGCGGGTTGCAAAATAAGGTGAAACGTGGGCAGGGCAGGGTTGCGGCCGCTGTTTGGACTGCAGGGCAAGGATTTCAGAGCTTTCCCCCCACTTACATCAGATTTTATTGTAATACATCGCATTTCCCTCTCCAAAAAAAATCCAGCTGAGCATATGTTTTGTTGCTTCTGACAGGAGTCTGGCAATGTTGGGTTTAATCATATGGGCATCTAAGAGTAGGGCAGAGGCAATATCCCACTCGTGTCCCCTCTCTTCTACCTGGTCTGAGCAGCCCTGGGCAGGGGAAGCAGCCCTACTCCTTGTTAAAGGAGCAGGGCGATTAGAGCAGTAGTGAGCTGGGCCAGGGTCCCCTTTAAAAGTTCTCCAGTATTGCAGCCACCTCAGATTTTTCCCTCCAGCTCTGGCAGGATGAGCCTTGGCTGGTGGGGTCAGCTTTCCCAGCAGGCAGCCAACGGCGCGGCTCGCGGCAGCACAGCAAGCCGGGGCTTTTGACAGTGACTCATGCCCCAAAAAATCGGGTCAAGCAGAAAAAAACCCACCATATATATATATAAAATTCTGTCCTTTGTCAAGTCACGTTGTGACTCACGTGGGGTAGGGGCAGGTCTGGAGCCAAAGTGGTGGTTCTGGGAGGGGTGAGGCATGCCCTCAGGTACTGATGATTAACTCTGAAACCTACTGATGGTGGCTGAGGTGCTGGTGTTAACTACATCTCAGTTGCCTCCTGAAAAAGCAAGATGGGAACAGGGCGGGAAAACTTTTACAGGACTCTCTGGAAAAGATTGATCTCTTGCCGGAGAGACCCATGAACGTGGGAGCCTCGCGGTGCTATTTTTAGCCACTTTTCAAATTGAAGCCGTATGCGCATTCCCACGTTCCATCCCTCCCCTGTCCACAAGCTAGCTCAGCTGTTTCGCACAGCGGGGTGAGAAGCCAACCTCGTGTTTGACTTGGGAGGTGCTGGCGATGCTTCATCCCCGGCTGGAGAGCATGAAAGAGCATGCTTGAGAGACCAGGGCGGTGTTAAAGCACAGTCCTTTCCCACTGCTGGCACAAGCCCTTTGCTCCCATCATCATCCCCTCCCCTCCGGGACCGCCGCTGCCCTTTCCGCTGCTGGCCAGCCCAGGAATGGCAAAGCAGGGCAGGAAAATAGACCTGTTAAGTTTAGGCAATGATTTCCAGCCAAAGGATGAGCGCTCAGGGTAAAGGGAAACGGAGGACAGGATCTTTATTAAAGCACAGTGATTTTCCCCGTCACATTGCCAGTGGGCAAGTTCGAAGGTCCACGAGATCAGGCGGAGGGTCTGCGGTTAAAGGTAGTTTATTTTCTAACCCAGCTGGGGCTTGTTGGTGTCCGGTTGCTGACTGTGAAAGGACTTTAGTCTCTCTCCTGATGTGTCCTCGGTGTCCCGGAGCAGAGGTTATGGCACATGTGTCACGGGAGCGTGGTTTGCACAGCCAGTTCTGCAGGAGCCCGCGGAGGTAGGACCATCTCTGGCTTTGTGGGGACAGGTGGTCCCAGAGCTGTGCAGAGTTGCTCCGGTGCCTAAATGGGTGGGAGAAGCACCCACAGCCCTCACGGGCAGAGGCGGGGGCTGTGATGGGTGGTCTCACCATTAGTCCCAAGCTTGGTATCTGGTTTGCCAGAGAAGACAGGGTGGAGCTAAATGGAAACACAAACTACTTTTAAAATAACAGGCAAACAGCTCCCAAAGCTTCTGTCATCCGTTGGGAAGAGCCCAGATCATTTCTTCTCCCTCGTGTGGGACCACCAGGCCACGGGATAACCCAGCACATGGTCTGTCTGCCACAGCGCATCCACGAGGTGCCCTTCTTGGTCTGCCACCTTCCCTGCTGGGATCCCGCATGGCATTGCCAGATCAAAACATGGTGTGATGCGTCCTCCGTGCCACCACCCAAGGGGACCTCACGGAGCGAACCTATGGCTGCGACAGAGCTTATGTGCTGGGCTGAGCCCCAGCAGGAGAAGGGAAGCATCCAGGAAAAGGCTCTTCAAAGCTGGTTAGATGCCTCACAAATACCTGGGAGAGGGACCCTCCTTGTGAAGGGATGTGCTGAAGGAGCTCCAGGGGTGTGAATCACCCGGAGTCCTCTGGAGCACACTGGGATGGCCACCTGCCCATCTCCATCTCCAGTGGGAAAGCTGTTTCACGCCATCCACCCGGGCTGAGGAACTGGAGAGATGGCAAACCTGCTCCCATGGTTTCTTCCAAGGATTTTTTTTGACTTGGCATGTTTTCTGCATCCCAGCAGACAAGGTTTTCCTTTGGGGTCAGTCCCTCTCACCGTCACTTGTGACATGTTTTAGGCTAGAAGCCAGTAAAGTTATTCCACCTTTGAAACTCAGACTCCAAAGCGCTGCCTTCTCCTTTTGAGCCGGGCATGTTTGCACTCCAAGATGGCTCCCAAAGGATTGTTGGAGGCAGGAGCATCAGCCGCCGCTCGTGTTACCTCTCACCTTGATGAGCAGCCCCGAGACCTTCCAGCCTTCTCGCTAATTGGGAGCTATCTGCCCTAGCTGGCACGTAGCCATCCTGGACTCAACAGAGCCCTTAAGCAAGAAACAAATATTCACATTCAGCTGCTGGCCTCCCGACAATGGCTTGGAGCAGCAGAAAAATGCGGAGGAGCTTCCAAAGCATCACATGGCTCCTTGGAGCAGCACGGCTGTCCTCGGGGCAGGAACCCTGCGGAGGGAAAGCTGCTCGGCCGGTCAGGAGGCAGGCAGCGGAGCGGCACCGAGGTTTTCAGCCTGCACTGAGATTTACAGGCTGGATTTAACGCTTGCTTGTTGGTACCGGCGCTGTGGGATGGGAGGATTAAATCAAAGGCTAAGCCCTACCCCATGGACATCAGCGTTGCTGCTCGGAGCAGTTTGAGGATAGGGCTGGCTGCCCTAGGAGTTTTGCTGCCCTTGGAAAGAGCCGTCTTCTCTGCTCTCATCCCTCCCCCGGCCCCTGTGCTGTCCCCAGGGTCTGTCTGAGCTCTGGGAGCCGGTTTGTCTCGCTAAGCCGAGCCTAGCACCAAAACAGATGGCTTTTTGCTGCTCTGAGTTGAAGCAGCTCAGACATTGGTGGTTGATGTACCTTGCCAGGATGAGAAATGAACCCTCTGAGGTACGGGATGTGCTCGAGTGGCCGTAGACATCCCCGTGTGCCTTGTGTGCAGATGCTTTGAAGTGTGAGGCTTAATTTTTAAGCCCAGAGAGGCCATTTTCTCGGCAAGCAGTGGCACCCAGGGGTGCGAGAGGACGCCTGAGTCAGCGCTTTGCTCCCCAGGCAGGGACCGGTGCGCAGGACTTGTCTCAGCTTGTTTTATGGAGCCATTAAATAAAGCTCCCTGCTGCCTAGCACCTTCTCATGAGGCATTTTCTGAGGTTAAGCTGCATGGAAGGGGCCCTGGGGCAACTTTTCAGCCAGACCCCAGCCATTCACCCAGCAGGGCTTGGCCATTCGACTGGGGGTGGTCCTTGGCTTTTTGGGAGGATGCTTGAACCCCATGAGGGACGGCCAGGAGAGTGGGCTGGTTCTCCATCCTTTCTGGAAGACGTAGGCTGAAGCAGATAAAGTTATTCGGCTAATTTGTGGCATTAAGCCGGGGAGCTGGAAAATCCCGAGTCTTGTGATGGGGCCGTGGGTTTATGACTCCTGCAGATGGGAAGAGTTCACCTGGCTGCAAATCCTGCCTTTTCCTTGAGGTCTCCGAGTCCTGCCGGGGTGACGCCAGCAGAGAGCTGGATAGCAGAGGGCAGAGCTGGGAACAAACACTGGCACGTTGGACACATGAAGGGCTCTATGGTGATGCCCTTGGCATGGAGCTGGGGAGGCTGGTCCCCTCTTGTTTTGGGCAGGAGGGGACTTTGCTGCCTCTGAGAGAGACTGGAATTGACCCTGTAACACCCCTTTCTCCCCAGAAAGTAGGGAAAAAGTGGGCTTGAACCTGGGATGGGGAGTTGGGGGGGTCTGGGGAGCGGAATGCCGGCATGTCCCGTGGAGTGCAGACATCCGATGCTCTTGGCAGGCAGGCAGCGAGGAGCATGTTAAAT